GGTACAGTTAATCTATTTACCTTCTTATTACCAATAGTTTTTCATATGTATTTATATTGTATTTAGTACAGTGTCTACAGGGTCTCACTCCATAGATCAGACTCATGGTGATCCTCCTGTTTACAGTCTCCTCTAGGATTACAGGCGCTCACCACCAGCCCAGTTTCATTCACCCCTCAGTGCGCCCTGAGTGCAGGATCCATATGGCAGGCCAGGGGATTGAACTCTCAGCCCTTGCATCTGCCTAAACAGGTGCTTTAATCTGCTGAGTAGTTTGGCTGGCCCTATTACCGATACTTTTGATGTTCTTATTTTGAGCCATGTCAAAATCTTACAATTTTGCACCATTGAAAGTAAGATAGATGTACTCTGACAAAGCTGAAGATAGTATTTTGAAAAGAGACTCATCTGATTTGTTATCATAAAATTAATATAGGCTCAGAGAGGAAATTTTTAAAATGTGGTGGGTAGTTATATCTAAGGTGAAAATAATAGTGATTATACAATCATTAAGATTTTTGTATATTGGGTTTTTTTCTTTAGATTTACATTTCCTAAGTGTATTTTATGGCAATGTTAGCTTCAAAGGGAAAAGACATAGCCAGACGTGGTAGCACCGATCTGTAGTCCTAGTACTCAGGAGCTTGAGACAGGCAGTTAGTTGAGACCAACCTTGGCTACATAGTGAACTTAAAGTCAGCCTGAACTACATGGAAGACCCTGTCTCAAAAAACAAAAACAAACCATAGGGTTGGGGAGATAGCTCAGCGGCATAAGTGCCTGGCAAGCACAAGGTCCTGAGTCCAATGCCTGGTATTGGGGTGTGGGGGAGGCGCACAGAAAAAGAAACAAAAGTGAGGGGAGGCACAAAATGATAATTTTTATGATTAAGTTTAGAAAATTAGAGTTTTTCTGCAGGATTTTTACAATTGTAGGTTATTAAAATAGTTTATCTGATAATGTAAATCTGTACTCAGGCAATAGAGTCAGGTGAAGTGAATGGTTCAAGTTCTTAAAGGCTTAGAATCAAATGGTTTTAACATTTAGGTCACAGGAGAGTAAGGAGAGGGGATAAATGCAGAGTAATCTCCAGACTTCTTGTTTGACCAGCCTGGTAGGTAGTGATGACATTAATGGAGGAAATTCCAGGATGAAGACCAGACTGGGTAAGAAGGTGAAGGAATTCGTATAGATAGGATAAAATTCAGAGCACAGGAGACAGTCAAGTGGGTATCTCGAGAAGATAATTAGGTAGGTTTGTACTTGAGAAGAGGATTTAAAGATTTCTGAATCTTAAAGTACTTGTGATAAATATAGCCACAGTAATGAGTATCACTGCAACAGTTAGGTAAAGTACAAAGATAAAAGGGATAAGGACAACACTGAGAAATAACAACTCTGTGACAAGTGACAAAGGAATCTGAGCAGGAAGAACAATAACCAAAAGAATTTGTTTCTTTAAAGGCTGTGTACTAATTCCCCACAATGAATGTAATCAGTGTGTACTATAAATATGAACTGATAAAAATAAAAAAATTTAAAAATATATGGCCATTATAATTTTAAAAAGTAAAGGTTATTGGAAGAGGGTGCTTTTCTTCTACTAAGATAAATATAGAAAAAGAGATATCTATAAATTATGGAGAGTGCATCTTGCTTTGATTTGCTTATCCTCTGTAAGTCAGGTCTAACGAGACTACTTACTTCCTATGTTAATGACAGGTAGAGAAAATTCTCTTAAGTCCAGTAGAGGTCGTAGTGATACTGTCCAGGACTTTTGTGTTGTTCTAGAAATGATTTTTTATTCTAATGTATAATCTTAAGATTGAAAAGAGAATTATTTTCTTAGAACTGGTCTTAGGGTACTAAAGTATGTTATAAAAATTAAGAAGAGTTACCTTGAATCATCTTATATTAAGAGGAAAACATTGAGAAAATTCTGACCTGAAAGAAGACAACTGGATATCTACTGTTGAAGAGGCAGTGTGAAATGGCAGTATCCTAACTCTCGGATGGTGAATTGGAATGGAAATTAAACAATATATAACTCAGATTAGTATGATAGGAAAGATCTTCCAAATGCTGTAGGATTTTGAGTTTTTGTACCAAAATAAACTAAGCTTAACAAGTATTTCAAACTAAGCTTGACAAGTATTTCAAGGTACAATTAGTGATAATTTTAGATAGGTCCACAACTTATTATTTTTCCTTTGATACTTAAAACTTCACCTTTGTTATTTCTACATAATTGTATATATTTTTAGTAGTGAAAAAATGAGTACCTTTAAGCATTCATGTACCACTGATACGCTACCAGTTTTATAAACACAGATTAGGAAGTAACTGTTTCAACTTTTTTGATGCTGTTTTTCCTGGCTTGATCATTAATTATATTTTGGGAAATCATAGTGTGCATTGTTACTATAAGTGTACATATGTCCAGTTACTGCTTTCTTTCAGTAAGAGTATTCATCAGGGTTAGGCATAAGTTGAACAAGATAGTTGCCTGTTCCTGTAGCATGTTTTATAAACACGTATATTCTCAAAATTTTTGTAGAAAATTCTAGTATTTGAAAATATTTAGAAATTATTCTGTATGATATATAGCTTTGCAAGATAATTTTGAACTTTAACATCTTAATAAAAAGACAAATACATATACATGTAAATATTAGCACTGCTTTGAAGAACATTTTTGTGAAAGTTACATAATTACTTGATTATACTCTGGTTTTTTTAGAGATGTGCAATAGTTTAAAAAAATGCACCTTTGTCTTCTAAAGTCTGTATTGTATACTAAGAAACATGCAGCAGAGTGAATTCATTTTAGTAGGTACTATCTTTTTCACAGTACTGGTAACTTCTAATGACATTTGGCAACATATATATATAGATACGCATAAAAATATAAATTCTTGCCGTCTGACATGGGTTTTTCTGGCTTTCTGTGCCTTAATCATTCAGTGTTTGCTCTTGGTCACCTAAACTTTCACCAATTTAATTTGAGTTTTTCTCAGTTTGTGTTTCAACCAGTTTTTCTATCCCCCTTTCATATTTCTATCACTTTCATGTAGGGCATGTCTGATCTGCAATTTTTCTGTAATACATCTTAGTACATTTTAAGTGATATTGAAAGCAAATATATATGTATATAACATATATACATATATATTTAACATTTCACATGTATATATTGGAGGTAAAATTAGATACTTTAAAGTCAAAAATCAATTACCTACATTTTTTTAAAAAAACACCAATATGCCTTATAAATCTATTGCTATGCATGGTTTTATTTAACATAAATTCATTCTGGAAATGTTAGCTAAAGAAAATGTTTTAACTTTGTTGCACAGAAACATTTGCAGATCAGCATTGCTGACTACAAAATAACATGTAGTAGCATACAATGTCATCTGATTTTTTTTGTTGTGCTTCCATGTTGCTGCAGTAAAATTCTGTGCATCAAAATAATTGCCCATCATGTACTAGATGTGATTCAACTATATCTTCAAGTTTTTACTGAATATATGCAAACTGAGTGAATCCTAATTTTTCCATATTTTTTATAGTCTCTGATTAACAACTTGTATGACATTTTTTTCTCTTGTGAATCAGTTACAAAAAATTTCATCTTTAAGGTGAATTCTTAAATTTCCTAGTTTTTATGCAAAAGTATGTAACTATCATATTTATTAATATCCTTTTATGACAGTCCTTAATTTTACCAGTTTTATTAAGCCGAAATATTTTCTAAGTATAAATTTGTTCATTAGCATCAGATTATGAACTTTAAGAAAAATTTCGTGAAGACATGTGGTTAAATATTACTTATGATGAAACATCTTAAAAAGTTTAATAGGGGGACTGCCCCTTACCTCAGTTCTTTAAGTGGCTGCTTCAACAAAGCAGTCAGGCTCTGGTTGCTGTGGTTCAATCCCCACAACTCAAGCCAGTCAAACCTGCCCTGAAGGCATTTGGAGCCCAAAAAAAAAAAAACTTTAATAAAACAAGTTTCCCTAGTATTCCTATTTCTCTTATAATCAATATACAGTAATAGAAGCCTTTGAGTTTCATTATCTCTATCAACCTGAACAAATCTATTTGAAGGATTTTCAGAACCTTTGAAATGTAATAAATTTTATTTAGTGTCCTTGGATAACTATATCCAGTCATTTTAGAAATTATTGAAATGTACATAATCATTTGCTTTAGAAACTTGCTGGGGCCGGGGAGATGGCTCAGTGGAATAAGCGCTTCCCTGGCAAGCGCAAGGGCCTGAGTTCAATCCCCAGTTCCAAAAAAAAAAAAAAAGAAACTTGCTGTTCTTCTAGTCTTTGACTTTAAATGAAAACTAAAAACCCATAGCTGTTTATTTTTGGCATTGGGATATGTTTGACCTGTTTTTAGAAAACATGCTTATTTATAGAAAAATTTGTAAGTTTCTCAACATTTATTAAATATTTAAACCATATCTGTTCCACATCTTATAAAGGATTCTATTCACTAGCATGTCTGTATATTGGCTTATGACATTATTCTAGACAGTGCATTTAACAATAACTTTTAAAATGCTGGAGTTTTTAAAAACTATTTCCTTGTACTTCACCTAATTTATACCTTTCCTCCAAAATTATGTCTCCTGAAAACATCTCATTACATTTTCTTACTAAGTGAAACAGATTACTAATATTTTTATTTACCCACATGAAAATATGCCATAGATCTTTTTTTTTAAAATAGAGCTATTCCTTGTCAGACAGCTAGAACATTTGATAATAGTCCCCTGAATTCTAGTAAATCTATGGAAAACATTCACCAGTTTGCTTGCAAATCAACTCTGCTGCATGCGTTCACAAGTTTCATAAAGATTGCATGCTTTCTGTTTTCAATACAAATTGTATTTTTTTTCATACCCATCTTTGCTTTTTATTTTTTTATTTTTGTTTCCCTTTTCTTGGTTGGATGCCTATATGTGTTTATTCCAAATCCCTGTCCAGTCCTGGAGTTTGAACTACGGAAAGCCAAGGAGACCATTCAGGCCCTCCGAGCCAACCTGACAAAGGCTGCAGGTGGTGTACATAAAACTTTTTTGAGACCTTTTTCTACTTTGTCAATGTAGAAGTAGCTGGGATATTTTAAAATGTAAAATAGTAAAACACTGTCTGTACTTTCTTCCATCAGAACATGAAGTTCCTTTACAGGAACGAAAAAATTACAAATCAAGTCCTGAAATTCAGGTGGGTAAAAAACAAATCTAAGAAGTATTTCTACATAGAAAAGTCACAGGCCAAACACTGAAAGTGAAAAATTATAGTTTTCTATTTGTCTTTCTATTTTGCTTCCAGGAGCCAATCAAACCTCTTGAAAAGAGAGCTCTAAACTTCTTAGTCAATGAATTTTTGTTGAAGAATAACTACAAACTTACATCAATAACCTTTTCAGATGAAAATGATGATCAGGTAAAGTTAATTTTTTTAACGTTGATTTATTATTCTCTTTTTAACTTATATTTTTATTCTCTTATCTAGTTTTTTATTTTCTTAAAAGTTGGACCTATCGTAAAATTATATAAGCCTAGTTACCAAAAACAATAGTCTCTAGCTTGCCCAGTTTAATATTCTATTAACTTACACACTTTTGTTTTCCTGTTGCTTTCTACATACTTTTCATTTTTTAGACAGATTTTTATAACATTCCAGTAGCTATAACCAACTCATAACTACATACTCATAAATGTATGGAGTTTTTATTTTGAAGTATTTACTGGATAGTATAATACACACTTAGAAATCAGTTTAACTTACATGAACTTCTTCAGTACCATTGTGACAAGGAAGATATTACACAACAAAGAATATTTTGAGTGAGAAAAATATAAGCTGTATCTTTCTAGTAGAAACCAAGTTTATCTTCTTTCTTTTAATCTTGAATCTTAAAGTATAGGTTTTTTTTTTTTTATTTAGGAATATAGAGGCTACCATTTTATTATTTTGTTTTTATGATGCTAGACATTGAACCCAAAGCCTTGTACCTACTAGGCAAGCACCCAACATTCCCAGCTGTGGGAGGCCATCTTAAATGATGTTTAATTTTATTCCACTGGTTCATAAAGTCTTCCATAGATCTTTTTGCAGAAATAGAATTTCTGTAAGGGAGGGAGTACATTTACTCCCTCATTTATAATGTCTGGTAAAAATTAAATTTGATACTGTCTTCCATTGCTAATCAGTAGGTATATTTTCTGAGATCAGTGTCAATAAGTGATTTTATTGCTCTAGGAGCATCGTAGAGTATGCTTAACACAAACTAAGATGGCTGTAATATTAGGTGATAATGTTATGGGACTGCCATCATATTTGAAATGTAGTTGACTGAAGTATTATTTGGCAGAGGCAGCAGGATTGCTGTGAGTTCCAGGCTAGCCTAGGCTACACAGTCAGTTCAAAGCAAGTCTGAACTATATAGTGATACGCTGTCTCCAAGAAAACAAGTTTCCCACAATGGAAGAAATTTCCAGGTCCCAATGGCTTTACTTGTGAATACTACCAAACATTTAAGGAAAAAGAAATACCAGTAATTCAGAGATTCTTTAGAAACTGGAGAAAGGAGAATATTTCCCATTTTATTCATTGAGGCCTGCTTAATTCTAATATCAAAAGCAAAGACATTACAAGGGAAGAAAATTATGGATTCAGATTCCTCATGAATGTAAATGAGAAATTCTGCATAACATTTTAGCAAATTAAGGAATATGTAAGAAGGATAATGTGGTGTTCATTCTGGAAATGTAAGTTTAATATACAAAAAGCAGTCATCGTAGCTCACCATGTTGAAAAAAAAAAAAGAAAGAAAATCGTATCATCTGACAAAATGCAAAAAAGGTGTCTACTCCATATAAAAACATTGAAGAAATTAGAAATAGTCTGGCAAAGGATATTTATGGGGAACCTGTCACTTAACCTACTTGATAAAGACATCTAGAATTTCTACTGTTAACTGCTTCTAATGAAGATTAGCTTGAAGATGTTGGCTCGTGTAAAACAAGAAAAAGATAATAAAGAGGTGTATGTTATAGAATTCTAGCAAGGAGTAATACTGTCTGCTCACTAATAATGTGATCTGATGTTATATATGAGAAATCTTAGGGACTATCCAAAGGAGGTACAAAAATTAATAAGTTATTTTAGCAAGGGTGTAGGATAAAGGTTCAGTACATAAAAACTACTATATTGTATGCAGGGAACAATTGAAACTTTAAAAATATTCACATTTCTATAAAAACTAGAAAGTAACTTAAAGAGAAATCTTAACCAAGACTTGTTCACTAAAACAATGACAATGCTGAGAAAAATTAAGACTTATATAATGAAGAGATACTATACTCATGGATAAGATACTGTGTTTCATAGTGTGAAGGTATTAATTTTTATATTGTTAGTGCAGTTAGAATCAGTATGTTACTGATATTTTTGTAGAAAATGATGTATTTCATTTGCATGGAAATAGAAAGGAATTTGTTTAGTCACACAGAGCTAAAGAACCTGAACATCTGACTTCAGGTCTTTGAAGTACTGATGGGAAACTTAAATCAGTGAAACAGACGTGAGATCACAGACTCATATCAATGATCCTGTGATTTCTTACATAATGAAAAGTAAATTCCATGCAGACAAGATCATCGTTTTTACAAATGACGCTAAAATAATTTGTATCCATATGTTCCCCCCCCAATGAAATTCCAACTGTCCCCCATACCATATTCAAAATTCAAAATGGAGCATATACTTTTGTGTGTGTGTGTGTGTATTTAGTACAGGGTCTCACTACACAGATCAGACTCATAGTGATTCTCCTGTTTTCAGCCTCCCAAGAGCTGGGATTACAGGTATGGGCCACCACACTCTGTCTCAACACATCCTGTGGGCAGGGATGGCACAGCATGCCAGGGATCAAACCGCATTCCCTGTGCTTGCCTAAGCAGACTCTGTAATCTGCTGAGCTATCTGGCTAGCCCTGAACATGTGCTTTTAATGTATATTCTATAAATTTTTAAGGTTTCTGAATGAAATACAGGGGCAAAGATCAATAGAGTTTTGAGAAATAGGCAAAAATTTCTTAGTTATGATACTGCAAACAGGATCTTGTCTATCAAATTTGTTATCACCAGAATTACTCACCTCTGGTCTTTGAAAGTCACTCAACTGAATGAAAAATCAAATCATACATTAGGTAAAAATACAAATATTTACAACTGGCATTTGGTGTAGAATTTGCTACAACTCTATAAACTCAATGATAAATTAATCCAGTTTTTAAAAAAGAAACAAGATTTAAACACAGGCTTCACTAGGGAACTTAGCTGGTTAGCAAATACTCATATGGAAAACATAACATCGTCAGTACATTAAGATACCACAATACATTTATTAGAAAGCCTGAGACTATGTGGAGTCTTAACAAAAGATGAAGAGCAGTTAGAAAGCTCATCATTCCTGGTTTGAAATATAAGATAGATATGAAATAAATTTTGAATGGATAATAGACACTTCGACATTTAATTAGAATATGCAATAACCATTTAATAATTTTTACAAGCTAAAGTTGTTCTAGTTATTGTTGTAAGTCTAGTTCTACAAAATTCTCTTTAAATATATTTAATAGATCTTACAAAAACCTTAAAAGGTAGTATTACATCTGTTTTAGAAATAACCTATTTAACGCTTAAATTAATTTGTAACAATAAGTAGAGAGATGAATTTCATATTTAGACCAGATTTTCTCCAAAGCCCTATTTCAAATTTAATGAAAAATAATGATTCCCATTATTCAAATTAGTTATAAAATGATTCAAAGTAACATATTTAAAACATTTGAGTGAGGGCCGAGGAGATAGCTCGGCATTCTAAGCACCTGCCTAGCAAGTACAAGGACTAAAGTTGAGTCCCTGTACTGCATGCCATGCTAGCCCCTCTGGGCGTGCCATGCAGGCCACCAAAACCAGATGGGATGATGCACGCCTGTAATCCCAGTACTGGGGAGGCTGAGACAGAAGGATCACTCTGAGCCTGGGCTACATAGTGAGACCCTGTACCAAATTAATTAATTACTTTTTTAAAAAAGGAATATTTGAGTGAATTTGCAGTAGTTGCTCCAAAAAAGTTTAATGGATAAGCTATAAGCAAATTGCAAAACAGCAACGTTAAAGAGGGTCTCAGTAAATTATAAGTAAATAAGTTATAAAATATCAAATCAGTACTGAAGTCTGGTATGTTAGATGAAGATAGACTGGCAGAGTGGTGATACTTGTGTGCTATTGAATAGTCTGGAGCTTTATAAAGCTTTCTAAAAGTATTTCCACTAGAACTTGAGATACAATGTCTTTTTATAGTCTTAAGTCATGTAGTATTGAGTTAGACGAAATACTTCAAAACACAGAATATTGAAAAGCAGCTATTTGGATTCTGAAAAGTGCTGGAAGCATTTTTATAAAATAAATTACATTTAAACAGCTACATTAAGAAGACAAATAAGTTGTCTTCCCACTAGATTAAACTGAT